TATGCAAATGGCATAATAAAGACGAAGTCAATGAACTAGGGGACACGTTATTGGGGGTAGTCAATACTTGCTGGTTTAAAGTTATTGTTGTGATCAAGAAAGGTACCTCTTAGATCAACTTTTATTACCATTATTGCATTATAACAGTCATTTCTGTCACATACTTACTCGTAAATACACAAAACTATACAATACATAGGTGCTGAAGTAAAAACTAATAGAAACATAATAATAAACAATTTTATGTGTAGCCTTATTGTAAGACGTAAATAAATACATGTGCGAGTTTATATTGAGAAAGAAATACTGGTTTTATGCCTTTTATGAACTTTGCATTTTTGCTGGAATGAACATGATTCATTCCAGAAAAATTGAATTAAATGTAATCATTTTCTGACAATGGCTCAGTATTGAATGATCAAACGAACTTACCAAGTGAAGTTCGATCTAAATTATCCTGTTTTCGCCGAAGAGATTTATTTTACCATGTAGTACCCCTGTACGACAACCCAATCCGCACACAATATTCAGCGTAGTAGTATTAAAAAACAAAAGAGCGGGCAACCCCACCCCTACCNTAGTCGCTAGGTGCAACCGCCTGCGTGCCTCCATCCGTATACGATTGGCACTGTTCAGAAAAGGAGTAACATGCGTCCTAGGTGGAATGTGGAAGCAGAAGCGTGCACAAGCATTCTGCACTCGCTGAATGAGCTTTGCAGTCCTGGCTAGAAGGCATGGTCCATAGACAGTGTCGCAGTAATTAAGCTTAGAAAGTACCAGAGCCTCACAGAGCGAAATGCGAAGCTGTTCACATAAATAAGGTCTCATTCCATAAAGCAGTCGGAGTCGATAGAAGCATCCCCTTGCACATTCAGCTATATGGCTCTCAAACTTAAGGTGGCTGTCCATAACAAGGCCTAGGTTTCTGACATTGTTCACTCTTTTGACAAATAATAAATAATCCCAACTAATATTATAAATGCGAAAGTAACTCTGTCTGTCTGTCTGTCTGTTACGCTTTCCCGCTTAAACCTCGCAACCGATTTTGATGAAATTTGGCATAGAGATAGTTTGAGTCCCGGGAAAGAACATAGGATAGTTTTTATCCCGGTTTTTGAAACAGGGACGCGCGCGATAAAGTTTTTCTGTGACAGACAAAATTCCACGCGGGCGAAGCCGCGGGCGGAAAGCTAGTAATAAATAACTTTATTGTGTCTTTAACAATGCACATGGTATCTTAACGAAAAAATTACATTTAACAATAGGAGCTGTATTAAGATAGGGATCATTAACGTCTATACTAGTTTATTTATTTATTTATTTATTTATTTATATGGCATACCAACAACATACAGTGTGAGTCACGTTAAAGTGTACATATGAAAATAGATGAAACTAGACCTATTTTTATCGACAAAAAAGAGGTCAAAAATTTTTTGAGATTTTTTTTTTAATTTTTTATAGAATTTTTTTTCTTCAAATTACTTATTGTAAAGAAAACGTAATAACTTTTAAACTAAGCGGTATATCCTGATAAAATAAAAACAGTAATAATACTAAATAACAGGAGATATTAAAAAAATACATAAAATACACAAAAAGTGCCAACAAATAATAAAAAATGATACTTTTTGAAAAAAATCTGCTTAAAAATTCGTGTTTTTTTGGTTATNCGGTGAAACGGTGACGGAGATAGCTATTGCGGTTTCTATCTTGCGGTTGTTCTGTTGCTCCCGCCGGTACTGGAGTCTTCAATCTCCAGTTCGTTGCTGTTTCTGTATTCTGGCGTTGTTTATCGACGTCTTCTGTTGAACGCTGTTTTCCTTTCGAAGTTTGGCGTGGTACGGACAATGGACGGTTTTCAAACTTTCTATATTTATCTTCTCTATATTCTCGCCGTGACTCCTCCCGCCGGTATGGAAGCTGCGATGACTCCTGTCGGTTTCTATTTGACGATGACTCCCGCCGGTTTTTCGATGACTCCCGCTGGTTTTGGGACGATCTTCCGTTTCTAATAGCGCCTGACGGATTTCTATTAGCAATTTTATCGACGTGCGTAGGCGAAACTATTGCGTGTANTATGATTAAATTGATTTGCAAAAATATCTGTATATTATTTGAGGATCATGAATTATTTTATTGTTTTTCTTTAGAATAATTTTAAGTTTATCAACATTACCAATGTGGTTTCTATTGATGTTTACAGTGTTCCATATTGCTTTAGCTGAGTTCTTACATCTCTCAATTTCATACTGAACAGCCTTTTTTTTCGCTGTTCTAATCACTTTCCTATAAATACGCACATATTTTTTTTTATACTCTAGCAACGTATTGTCAGCAACTGATGTATTTGCCAGTGTTAAAAAGCGTTTCATCTTGCTTGACGTTTTTATCCCCCTAGTAACCCACTTCAAAGATTGTTTACAATTCACTTTAATTTTTTTTGTTTTNTTTGTCAGGCGCAAGAAGATTTTAAGCAATGACGATAGATGGCGCTTTTCCACGTCTTATGAAAATCCCAAATATTTTACGGGACCCTATTGTTTTCCAAAATAAAATTTAGCCTATGTTACTCGTGAGTTATGTAGCTTTCGAATGGTGAAAGAATTTTTAAAATCGGTCCAGTAGTTTTTGAGCCTATCCATTACAACTAAACAAACAAACAAACAAACAAAGTTTTCCTCTTTATAATATTAGTGTAGATATTAATTAAGGCATTAGTTAAGTACCAACCCAATGTTTAGTTCATTAAGTTTTGTAGGCCATTCCTGCAATTAAATGGCCTAAGGGGGCGGTATGTTTAAGAGTGTTTATGTATTAAGTTCAAAACGCCACCAACAGATGGCGCTATACGTTATTAACTCGCGCAAGTGAAGTATTTTTTGGCCCATACATAAATATGGGTGACTACAGAGTCCATTTTCGAACAACTTAATACACGTCTTGTCTTAGTACAATACTATTGTGGTTTTATTTGAGTTAACCCTTTAGTACAGTTCAGAACATCGCAAGTTCAGTGTGTTAACAAACGGAGCTAATCATACGAGTGAAAAGCCAATGGTTTCATATTGCCTTTTGATTAGTGCATTCATCTGAGTGAATTCAATATGATTGCAAAGTTGTTTACTTACTTTAATTTGTTTATCGTTCATAAGATTTTGAAGTTGTTTCGTGGTGGATTGAGTAGCCTAGAATGCGCGCCGCGATAAGTTTTTATCGCGACCTTTTATCAATTTTACGCGATAAGTGCATACATTTGTCGTCTAAAATCATCGATATCATTATCACGGCGTGTATCCTACTCCAGCTGGTCGCGAGTTCGATCTCTGTACATATCATCTAGATCAGTGGTTCCCAAAGTTGTCTGGGCTACGACTCATCTAATACAAGTTCCCAAACTCGGGAGCCACCTATAGGAAATTTCGCCCGCTGCCCAGCAGTTGTATCGGTAGGGTGGTGTGTCGTTCTACAGGCAGGGCCCACTCAATGTTCGCTCGCGACCCACCACTGGGTCGCGACCCATAGCTTGGGATTTAGATGGTTTCTAAGTAATCGCTTTTCTTTCCTGTTACCGTCCAAGGTAGTACCTACTATGTACATAATTATTATTATTGAAAAACCTCTAAGATAAGTTTAAACTAAAAGTGATAGTCTAATATAGGTACAAAATAATAAAACCTAGACTCATTACTTCACACTGTCAACATCAATAAAAAAAAATCATAGCGCTGTCTCGACAAATAATGTGATATAGAAAAAGAAAAAAGAAAACAGCAGCCAGATCCATTTTACAGCGACTAAGCAATAAGTTAAGCTGCAAAAGCAATAGGCGTAATTGGAATCCAATAACTAAATCAAGTCGCTGAGTTACTTTACACACGTTTTTAACATTTCAATAGTTTTCCTGTCAAAATAAAAACATATGTAGGTGTATTTTGCAATTATTAACTCAAACAAACTTGTCAAAGTTGTCGTAAACTTTACAAAAAAGTTTTAATATGAGCTTATGTTATTGTATAATTTCCTTAAAAAATCCAACCTGTTTAAAATTTAATAAGCAATTCAATTGATTTCAAATCAGAAACTATCGCATAGGCTACTTTAATAAATTATGTATGCAGCTTCACCAAAAGCTGACTTTAGTTGGCTAAAATTAATTAAATTACTTTGCACGACAATATAGGTGGCACTGAACTGGTTAAACATAAAATTAAATGAGTAAGAAATAGACTGTCATTTATTTAAGTTATTTAATGTCACCATACACAACAATACATGACATCTTACATTATAACAACACTCAATATAAAATATCAAAAAAAGTATAAAATAACACCCACAAAAGATTAACAACGACAACGTTGAAGAAACCAACATATAATATTTTTAAGTGTTTTTATCATTTTGTGCTGCACTTCGCGATACAATAGATTTTTATCCAATATCTCCCGTGTCTGATGCTGGAGATGAACTAAACTCTTAGAAACTCTTTCAGTTGTAAAGGACAATGGCGACACCCGGCTCCGTATTTTGCTGTAAGCACACAATGGCATCAGCAGGGTTTAACTTAAAAGGAATTGGGAATATTGAGTTTACTGGAGTGGACTAAAGGTTCGGCCAAACCAACGCGATCAGCCTGCGCGATGGCGATGGCGATCAAAGCGTTTAAGTCTTATCGCCATAGTAATCGTGCACGCCGGCTGCATGCATTGGTTTGATTGAACCTTTAAGCCTGAGCTACTCGTATATCTCAGTATCTTTGTGTGACCCAAATATTTATCTTGTAAGATCAACTGGCGTCATCTATTTCTAGGCTTTGGTCGAATATTGGACGCCACATCAAATGCAAGTTTGGTCCAAGTCAAACTCCTCGCTTGCGCTATGTTAACATCGTACCCGAATATCACCCAACTTCAGTTCAACTCCAGACGGTGTATTGAAACTTCCATCAAACGTTCTGTTTACACTTGTGTATTGGTTAAGAGTTTATTCGTCATTAGCCTTCGTTCTCTGCTTCACAAGTGGGTTTCGATTCAATGCAGAATGCTCTTCTAATCCCTAAATAATCCATTACAAGGACCTGTATAATCCTTTGTTAAAAGTGGCAAATAGAAATCGGATTTTAAGGTTATACTGAATAAGTCTTCAGATTACAGCTCATTGACATAATCACAAACCTATTTACAAACTGTTTGAAATTATTACTAATGGCAGTTACTACTACGATTATTTTAGGGACTATATTATTATGTGGAAAGATTATAAAAGATTGTTTGTGCACGGTTGTTGTACGTAGTTAAGGCAAAACCCGCGGTTGTCTATATCGACGGGCGCCTCCACGCTGTCGGTGTGAAACCACAGCCTGAAAGGCTTCACTGTGCCTGCAAACAAAAGGTTTGATTAGTAGGTTCATTCGAAAGTTGGAATATAAAGTTGGGAAACGCCATCTGTTCTACGAACAATCGCCACGTATTTTTCCCACCACTATAACCCCTTTTGTTTTAAAATCTAACGCTTTTAAGCTCCGGGACTTTCCCGTACCGAGCTTTGAGGCGCGGGCGCGCGCGTCGTTGTTCGTTATTGCCATGTGACAAGCTTTAAGTAGGTACTACCACAGAATAATAATAAGTACTACGTACAGAAGTTTTACTTCGCGAAGGTATTTAAAAAAATGTATGCTCAATGTCATTAACAATGTGGTGTAATTTAGCCTGTCTCAAGAGTCAAGCACCATTTTGTTGACAAACGTCAGTGATCGGCACTGCGCCGAAGCTATAGGGCTGACTTCGGTAAAATGATGTGACGGAAGGTGCCAAACTGCAGAAAATGGCGGAAGAAATACATGATTTAGCATGAATTATCACGAATAATATTAACTACTTATTTACCTCTCAGTGTCTTGAGGCAACTTAAAAAAGTACATTCTGTGTTTTTATTATTATTTAGGCAGTTAAATACTGCACAGTATTTAGTACACCATTTTCTTTATTTTGTTCCATCCTCAGAATACAGAACAAACCAGAAGGAGTGTTCGATAACATTTCTACGCGGCAACTTGTGTCCAAAATACTTCCCCTCCCGCGCCCCTCTACCCCCTTTAGTGTTACTAGCGCCGTGTGACACCCCCATTTTTGGGGTAAAATTATGTAATTTTTTAAAGAGATGTTAAACAAGTAAAAAATAAGTAAGTGAAATAAGTACACACGGCCAGTGTTAACTATCCATTTCCGTTTTTGCTCTCGCTCTTATCAAATGGTGATTCTTTGCGATAGAACGAGACGACATGACTGGCCATAGGCATAGATAGTACCTACCTACCTATGAATTTAATTTTTACTCCGAAGTAACTAAGTGTAAGATGATTATTTATTTCTATTAAATAGTGTAATATATGTACTATATTTTATGTAGGTATAATATGTTATTTAAAAGTCAATTACAAAAGTCGAATATAAATTTTAGAATGCCAAGTAAAACAAAAAAGAAACTTAAGGTTCTTTATTATGTAAACATATCGACAACAAAACATTTGTTTACGGCGCAGTAGTGCTTTTAGTTTAACTTTTCTTGGAGTCAAAAACAGAATCCAAATCAAAAACATCACCAATACTTAAATTTGATTGCGAGGCAACTCTGGCTGTGTATCCTGAAAAAAAATCAGAGTAAGTATGTAAGCAATAATTAATTACTTAAAATTATTATTAAATATACAAATATTGCTGCTGCTGATCTGTTGATACCAATGCCTTACTTTTGAATAAATGGGAAAGTATGAAATTCACGATAGTAATTTATTATCTCCTCATTATTAGGGAGTAATATTATAAATTAATTCAATATATTGAAATCAAATCAAAATCAAAAATATTTATTCAGTTTAGACCACAAGTGGCACTTATAATTTAATTAATCAGGTTGTCATGTCATGGATGAAATTACACTAAAAACTAATTAAAACAAAAAGGATGGGGAAAATATTCCATTATTCTGTGGTAACGCTAACAAAATTAACGCGTGAATTTTTTATAAGTAGACAAATGTAATTCAATATAAAAAAGTAGGGTAAAATATTCCGTTGACCTGTGGCAACACTTACAAAATACAACCGTGATTTTTTTTGAAAATTATTATTTAATTAAAATGAATTGGAAATGTGCTACTTACGGATAAAACATGATCCCATGCACTTTCTTCGTAATTCCAGTAGCATTCTTACATGTTGGAACGGCACAAGACGGCATAATTTAATTATAAAGTGTCAATCTGACGGATATGTAAACAATGCGCGCGCCGGCCATTGACTGATTGCTCTAAAGTCAAAGTAGTGCGATTTGGAGTACTTTAAATGAATACACATTTACGCCCGTTGACGGTTTCTGGTTTGTTCCGTATTCTGAGGTTCCATCATACACTAAGCATACACAAGAATACGCGTGCGTGAGTCAATGTTCGCTCGTATGTGAGGCCTTGTCGAATAGTATCCTGTAGGTGGGCCATCGTGCGTGTTTTGTTTTCGATGTAAACTCGCGGAGATGAACAGGCCTGGTACTACGCACGTTTCCGCTTACTAATTGTATTGTTAAAAATTTTATCAGACATGTGGTGGTGAACACTGAAAAACCTTTGTGATTCAATGCATCCGCTGAAAGCATCAAACTAATTTGATTTATATTGTTTAGATCGTAACATAATATGACTCACGAGGAATACGGCTGCTTGTTAATAGAACGTTGATTTTATGATGGTAATATGATAAAACTGATGGTTGGGAGTTGGTGTAATATAAGTACGTCCTGAAACACTATCCTGAAACATTATGAAAGTTTTTTCAACACCATGGCATAAACGTTTGTCTCATAATTTCCTAGAAAGTGTTGTCACCCATGGGAAAGGAGCAGACTTGCGCTGTGTAGTTTGTTCTCAGGCAGTCAGAAAAGGCATCGATTACTTGATTGAATGGTTATTTTCCGTATTTGTATTATCACAATGAAAATAATTAATTAACAGTAAGTGCATTTTCTATAGGTTCTTTTACACCGTTAGAAATATGAACTTTTCGTATAACGCTAACCTTTAAATCAAAAATTAAGCGATTTTTTTCCTCATAAACTATCACATGGTTGAGTTTTTGTAAGTAGTATTTTTACTTTATTTATAGACGTAAAAATATTAAATACATGAAATCCACTCGGTCCACTCTCGAACAGATTTCAATATGAATGTAATAACGCACCTACCTACGCATTTTATTCGGTCTAGAGCTTTCGTTATAAAGATTGAGAATGTTACTAGGTATGCAAAATCACTTGAAACCTATGTTACAGTTAAGCTTTTACATTTACAAATACATTAGTTTTTATTTCATTCAAAAATACCCAGTAGTTATGATTTTATAGGCATTCAAAGTTCGCTTAAATATTGAGACCCGCCGACGGTCACGTGACCCCGTGTGACGTACATTCACAGCGTCCGCTCACTAGAAAACGGATATAAACATACTTAAATATTTTTTTTTTGTAAATACAAACTTATTATACATATTAACACCGTGAGTCAGTGAGTCAGTCAGTGAGTGACAAAATTAAGTAACTTTGACCCGTTATAATTCTTAAACTACTGGTTCAAATTGAATGAAATTTTAAATATACCGTGTCTTTACAATGCCTGCATAGCTAATGAAAATTCAGCCTTCTAGTTTTATCCACAACGAAGTTACAGGCGGTCGAAAATGGCCTGAATTGCTTCGAGAAAAGGATGGTACGGCCGTGCCGCTTTTTTGCTCGACTTGGTGGGGGCACTGCCGTGCCCCCCAGATATGACGTCACGCGCATAAAATGGCGGGCCGGCCGCCGCCCGCACTTTTAAAATTCAATATCTTGGAAACTAATTGACGTATCGAAATAATTCTTTCACGTGTATTTTTTATTTTTAACAGAGAATACAGAAAGCTAAAAAACAAAATTAGTGAACATTCTTCATTATGTTCTTTAGAAATTCCATATTTAGATGTTTAACACCAAAACATTTTTACTTTATTGCGTCCAAAATACTACTACTCGTATGGCGGTTATTTTCCTAAAGACGTAGATTTCAAATTATTACGAGAATCTGGCTCATTTTACTAACAGCTCCGTGTATAATAATTTACTTACCAGTGTTTTTCAATGTAAGAAAATGTATTTTCTGTTTTGAGAAATAAATGTCTTAGACCGTAATGCTTCAACCACACCAAAGCGTGCAGATCGCTATCGCGGCGCGATCACGGCGCGATCACGGCGCGATCACGGCGCGATCATAGGCAAATGACAGGTCGCGTGAACTGTCATGGTAATGTACGTACATCATAATATATATTTTTTTGTTTTGTCATTCTCTTATTTTATAAGTTAGGGGGGGTCACATTTTACCACTTTGGTAGCGTCTCTCGCGCAAACTGTTCTGTTTAGAAAAAAATGATATTACAAACCTCAATATTATTTTTAAAGAACTATCCATAGATACCCCAAAATACGGGTTTGATGAAAAAAAAATTTTTGAGTTTCAGTTTTAAGTATAGGGTGGGGAACCTCAATTCCTTTTTTTCTAATTTTGTGTAAAAATCTTAATGCGGTTTTCACCATCAATCCCTAATATTTAAGTGACCTCTTTAAAAACAAAATTACTGTTATGTGTCACCATCACTTAATAATTGATGGTCAAAACCTAATCATGAGTAGAGATGTAGGAATTGACTGAATCTGACCGGTCACGATGGTCAAATACCATATATGTCCGGTCAAATTCAGTCAATTTGACTCAATATTACTGTACTACCACCGAATAATTTATTTATATACGTACCCAATTTATATGCAATTTTAAATGAAGGAACGTTATATTACTATTCTGTGTAATGGTTTCAATGGTACGAATTTGAAGCACACTGGTTTTTTGTATTAAATTATGAGAGGAGAGAGTGACGTCTTACGTCACGTAAGTTGACGTGCGCGGCGATGCGACATTGCCATTCACCTATAATGCACGTGAGCGGGGTGCGGCGCAATTGCGTAGGGAAAGAAAGAGAGCACAATAAATTATTACAAAACACATAATGTTTCAATTTAGAAGTTTTAGACTTACTGTAAAATGTTTAACTATAACAAATCATTACAAACCACTTTTTTATTTCAATTAAGATGTTGTAGACTTTTATCAATCACAAAATCTAAGAAAAAACTTAAAAAGTACTTAACTATTAATGAAATCAAATTGTCCGAAATTGGCCGTTTTTGGCAGTTTATTACTTGTTTTTGACCAATTTGACCGTAAATGACGGTCAGTCAAATTCAGCCGCTTTGGTCATTTTCAACACTAATCATGAGTAGGTGCGAAAGTTGAGGAATATTACTCTAGACTCTTCTACGAGTGGGTGTAATTTTTGGGGCCAACAAGTTGATGAAGCGTATTTTAGTCTAATGCGCATATTTGAAATGCCCACGAACCACTTCTCTGTCATAAGCCGTTCCTGAAAGCTGCAGTGTGGGCAGAATATAGAACACGCGCTCTAATTTTGGTTATACCTAAATCTCTCAAGTACCGCCTATGATCTAGTTAACTAATAAGGTCATTAGTTCATAGTTTACAGCAATGTTAATATCAACCCCCTATGCAACGTATGAAATTGAAGAGATTTTATGACAGCGAAATGACTCTTTGTTGACAGCTAAAAAGGAATTTTGTGCAGGACTGATTATCCGGCTATAAAAACTGTACGGAACTGTCGGAGCCAGATAACTGTGACTGGAGTGGATGAGCGGAGTGGGCTGTACGGATGCGGTGAAACGGAGAGCGGTGGACTGTAGACTGTAGAAGCTCCGCTGACGGTGTCTCCAATCGCTGCACTACTATACTATAATCGGTGGTGGATCGTTGCCACGTCTTCGTACCTCGTGGCTTCTATACTATGTGCGGTGTGACGTTCTATACGGTGAACACGGTGCGGTCGATGTCACACGCTGTAGGAGTCCGGTCTATACGGTATCCGAAGTCGCTATGCTATACGGTGTCCGAGGTCTATGCTGTAGTCGTTGTACTATTCACTATGCGCTCTTGAGACTCTTGAGTAGACTTCGCTGTACTACCGGAGACTATTCTCTTCGGTTGCTTGTAGAAGACTATTCACTTCGATTGATTAGAGAAGACTATTCTCTTCGCTTGACTATGAGAGACTATGCTTGGTGCGGCCCGGCAGCCGGTTTATATACCCATAAAATCCCGCCTATTTTCTAGAAACATACGCGGTCCGCCCGTATTCGGGAATACGCAAGTACTTACTCGAACTCGCGGGAATCGTAAACAAACTATAAGGCGTCCGGATATGAGCCTTATTGCGTATGCGCTAAGGGCGGTTATCGCGGGCGCGCGTGCTATCGCTATCCTTTGCGCGCTCGCGCTGTCTCTGTCTTTTTTGGTACTTGCCGAGCGCCGATGATTTATTACATACCTATAGGTACGTATAGGTATTTGCTGCGGTTTCCTTTTATCTTTTTAGGGTTCCGCTCGGCCGATTTGTAGTCGTCCTGCACAAATTTTATATCATAAGTTTACCCACTATATTATTTAATATATCCTTCCCTATCACCGAAGGTGTGTTGTGGAACGCTGTTAATGTTGTTCCGATATTATTACCTACTTCCACGTGCCTACGTTAGCGACGCTCGCGTGGTTTCCATGGAAATGCGAGTAGACGTATACAATTTCTGTAAAGGATATTAAAGAACATTTTCCTGGATAAGTATAGTAGAGCAAATCAGATTTTTGGAGCTTTTGTGCTTTTTATGTTATTTGCATACTGTTTGTCATCCTCGAGGTTGTAAAAGAACATAGTGTTTTGTTTTAGGTCATGAAATTAACGACCACCTTTAGTTATGTTTTGGGAGTTGTTTTCGCCTTTTGTTTTCTTTCAGACTTTTATTAACGGTCTTTAATATTACCATTGAGTAATAATGTACTACGTACTAGAGAAGACATGTCAACTAGACTGTTTCTGGCACCTAAATAGGTCCACGGACCGAAATTCAATTAGTATGTGCTCAGCGGTTGCTGTGACAACACGCTTGAGTGCAGTTTTGTTTTTTGAAATATGCCATCCTATAGACGAAAATACTGTTCAAATAACTCCAGATACATANCGGCAGAGCGCAGTGATTTCGAATGTTTCAACTGCTACGTTTTGTCACTTGTCTAGGAGGGCTAATTTTAGTCTAAGGGAGGGGAGCTTAGATTACATTACAGGAAACGCACAATATAATAAAAGAAAATAATGTAAGTAGCTGAACCTTTTTGCTATTGAGCACCATGAAAATTTAACACAATTTAGCCGATTTGTTTATTTTCACAATCGTTTCACAATGTCTATGATGAGGCGACCGCAGGAACGTCACTATTCGTGCAATCCTATCAATGAAGTACGACATTTTCTGGTGCAGATTTTATCGCCATAAATTATGAAACTTGATAGTCATGGATTTGACTGACAGCTGTCCGTCAAATTCCCGCCCCGCACCCCGCACTGTACATATTTTGTTCGCGATGTCTGTTCTATACGTAGTAATAGGTATTACTTCAATGAATATTACTATCTTTTTTATTCAAAACACATAAACTTCAATAATTAAAAATAAGGTAAGTAACTGTATTACTTTTCACTGGGGCGGTAGACTTGTTTGCGATAAAAGTCTTCCTGGAATTTAGAATCGTATTTTGTTTATTTGGGTAAAACGTGACCCATATTTTTGTTAACCGGCTTTGATTGCTTGTAAAACAATTTAAAAGGTAAAATATTTTTTGCTTACAACATCTTTGAGCTTCACATAATCCGTCACGCAATTTGTAGATAAATTCATCCATATTTTCCTAAAAAAATCCTTAACCTAATTATTGATTGATACCCGATAGGCCTGAAGAGCTGCGATTATCTTATCCATCTTTTATGAACCTTCTGACTTCTAATTTCATTTTTTGCCTTGTTAGCCCCTCAAACTATAATAGTCGAGCGTCGGCCAATCCGAGTACCCCTTCGTTCGTTCGTTTCAGCCAAATGACGTCCACTGCTGGACAAAGGCTTCCCCCAAGGTTTTCCATAATGAACGGTCCTGCGCTGCCCGCATCCAGGCTCTTCCCGCGACCTACTTACCAGATCGTCGGTGCACCTAGTAGGAGGCCCACGCTACGTCTTCCAGCCCGTGGTCGCCACCCGAGAATCCCTTCACCGTTCGTCTATCGTGGCATTAATCAAGAAGCATCACTGAAAGAATCGAAATTAGGTTGAAAGTTCAACAATACTCACTCAACACAGTAGAAGCAGTCATAGACAAGTCAGCCGAGAAGGTTCCCCCGCAAATCCTGTCTGTGCACAGCGCTTGGGCTGGCTGTATTCTGCCAACGTTGGCGGCACAGGGCACCAACAGCCAATCGTTGGCGCAATTGTTGGGTCCAGCTCCAGAGCCGATCATAGCGTTGACAGGCCCGTTGCTATTGCCACTCAAGGTGAACGCTCGAGAACGGTTGTTAACTGAAAAAAAAAAATATCGAGCTTTGCTTATTATGGAAACTTTTTTTTTCTCTTTTCTCTTCATTGTTTTTGTACTTTTTTTTATTAGTTGTCAAATAAATAATTTTGCTTTCTTTCTTATTATGATCAAGTTACGTTGGACATGGGAGGTTCCGAGATGGTTATAGCCGAGTAACATATTTTAATGTGCATATTCCTGCTGAAACAATTGTATCTAAAGCCGATGTTAGTGATTCAAAGATTCCATAAAGTGGATTATAGAGTGAATGAGAACAACTTTACTACAGTTAGGAATGGTAGTTGAGAAGTTCATTTATTTTGATAATGCACTTACTAAAAACGCGATGGCAATGGCGTTGGTTTGGCCGAAGCTTAAATTGGACTCAATCATAAACATATTTTATAACTTAAAATAAAAAACAAATAAACTTAATCTGAATATATTTAAAATCTGAAATCTGAAATAACGACTTTTATAAAATTATTAATATGATTAAAAACCAGGATGCCTATACGAGGTTCAGTCGATTGGAATTCGATTAGAATTCAATTTTCGCTTGAAACTGGAATCTCGTGTCACGCGTTCCAACTTTTTCACGATGCAAATTCGCCGTCTATCATCAAACACTTCACTGAAACTGGTAGGTACCAAGCGCGAATGCAAATGGGATGTGGTTGCCAATCCTTATTGTATAAGCACTTATTAAATCACTATTGGTATGAATGAATATGTAAACGGGAAATTGTGAACTTCGTCAGTTTACAATATAACGCGTTAGATTGTAAACTTACAATTTTACGGTGACATAATAATATATACAGTTTAAAAGGTATATTATTTAACCAATTTTTAAACGACAGTAAAAATAATGCACTGAAAGTAACGAAACTGTGAGTTTAATATCAAATTCAAAATTATTGTATACCTAAGTAAAGAGAGGCCTATGAGATACTAGCGGCATATCGTGGCTTCACCCGCGTCAATTTCGGTCTGTCACAAAAATAATTTATCTATAGCGTGCGTTCGTGTCCCCAGTTTCAAAAACCATGATATTATTATTAAAATCTATGTTATTTTCAGGGGTTTAAGCGTGAAAAGGCAACGAATAAACAAAGTTAGTAAGTACTTTCGCATATTTTTTAATGGATTCGCAGCATTAATATTAAGCGCACTTTCAATAGACTACAAAGTGCCTAGAGTAAGAGTTAGGTATTCAATTATTTAGCAAGTTACTTTGATGCGCTGAACGTATTTTCTAAGGCATACTCTAGGACACTTTACATGTTAGTCTTGACATTATTTATTAATATAGTTGTTTTACAAAGGATGAGCATTGAAAGGAGATAAGATGGAATCTAGTAAGTAATAAGATCTGCTAAAGTGGCCAGTAAAGATAAAGTGCGTCACTAAAAGGATTTTTTATAAAGTTTGTTATGTAAAAATGTACTTTTAGACAAAGAGGTGATTTAGGTTCCAGACTTAACTTTTTTTGGACATACGCTGATCTACTTTTTAGCTTAATTTGACAATGACTAATTACGATTTATTTCAATGTTTGCCTTTCCTCGGATGTTTTTAACTGTACTTTAGCTCCTTCTTCATAACATTAATATAAACAGCGGTACGCCAATAATATTTTATTGAAACGTTTATTTTGAAAATAATGATGACAGGAAAATAGAGCATTAATAAAGGGCGGATATTGTACCGGACAGCGTTTGCGTATTGGAACAGTTGCAATAAGCCCTGCGGGGCTTGCAGGGCGGTGAGGGAGCTTAAAATAGACTGAATAAACCAGGATTCGTGCGCGAAGATACTAAATAAACTGGGAATCTTTTAGATGGGAAGTGCCTGTACAATAACAGAGTAAATACAAATGAGTAGGTAGGTCATCTTCATAGAAACGCACCGACCGCGGTTTGTATGTGAGCGTGCCAATACGTATGCGGCGCGTACGCACACACTGACAAAATTCGGCGCAACACTCCGCTAATCCACGCTAAAAATCCGAGCATAACCCTCTCCATAGCATATAGATCATTTACCATCAGGTGATACGTCTGCTCGTTTGCCTCCTGTCCCATAAAAAGTACTACTGTGTAAAGGTACGCTGTAAAACAATTTGCATGTCTGTGACTATCGTTATTGCCAGGGTTGGCTCGTAATTACACAAAATGAAAATGCATGAGGGAGGGTGCATGCCGGAAATGCGGGTACACATTTTAAACAATGAGTTGTAACGAACGCGCGCATATACGTGACTAAAATTATGACGTGTGCTCCATCAGTCGTGATTCAGAACTATACTTGTGTCAAAGACTCGCTGCCGATGGGGCAATAAAATCAGAGTAAATACATATGAGTTGGTCATCTTCATAGAAACGCTCCGAGCGCGGTTTGTATGTGAGCGCGCCAATACGTATGCGGCGCTCACGCACACACTGACAAAATTCGACACAAAATTTTGTCAGTGTGTGCGTGCGCGCCGCATACGTATTGGGCATACAAACCGCGTTCGGGCGTTTCTATGAAGATGACCTACTCATTTGTATTTTCTCTGATAAAACTTTCGTGCGCTAGGGAGAGACGCGTGCGGTGCTTGCCTTATCGACAACCGCTCCCATTCCTCCAGGAAATCGTACCCTGGCATGTGCGTCATGCTGCATCATGATAATCAATCATTTACTACCTAATTACTCGCGGTAATGATAAAAATAAGTACTAAATTATTTAAACTTTTTTTAAACTTGTTTCTTTTGTTACTTGTTATATTATTAATATTATTAATTAACACCATATCGCTCCGAGTCTCATCGTGGATAATAACTACATACAAAAATAATCATCATAGCTATATATTTGCACTTTTTATTTTATTTGTAATGATTTATTATAATTCCCAACGCGGTTCTACTTATTAAATAGTCTGCATATTAACAAGAATTCTTAAGAAATATTCACAAAAGTTGTTGTTGTATAAAAAATTCCACACAGCGAGCGAAAGGAAAAGCTAACAAGGCCGAAAACCGACAAGGAGTAAAAATACCACGAACTTCGCTCTGTGAAGGTTGCACGTTGATTTATTTTTAGACGACATAAAGGCTTCTTCATCAAAAATTTGACTTTCTGCAGCACCATAAATGCAGTATTGCAAATGTTATCTACCGCGCTTTGGTAAAGTCAAAGTCAAAATTTCTTTATTTGTATCTTAGACTATTATAGTATAGTGCTCACAAATCGTCTATTAATATTTTGCTCTTAAAGAGCCTCTCATGTCTCATAATCTTTTTACCCTACCAGTAAATCCTGATATCACCGCTTTGGCTCCCCTGCGGTCAGCGGTCCAGGTAAAACAATCGTCAGCCGAAAAAATCTTTTGACTATAATAATCTATACATACAATAAATCTGTATAGAGGTCAATTCTGTACATTTTTTTTTATGTGATAGGAGGCAAACGATTAATTATAGGCAAACATTAAATATATTTTCAAAATAACTATCCGGGGGTGATTGTGATCGATACTGATGCCAAAAATGCAATCAGTAAAATTTTTGTCTGTCCGTCTGTCTGTATGTTCCTTATAGAAACAAAAACTACTCGACGGATTTTAACGAAACTTGGTACAATTATTCTTCATACTTCTGGGCAGGTTATAGTATACTTAGGAATTCCCACGGGAACAGGAATTAGCGGGAAAATCCATTTGTATGGAAAATCTAAACCGCTTAAGTAAGACGCTTGAAATTTGGCATGTAGGTACCTTAGTAAACTTAAAGCTTAGTCACAACAGGATATTGCAAAATTCCCACGGAAACGGGAATTACCGGGAAAATCCTTTTGTATGAAAAATCTAAACCGCTTAAGTTAGACGCCTGAAATTTGGTATGGAGGTACCTTAGGAAACTTAAAGCTTAGTTACAATAAGGAATTCCCGAAATCCCTACGGGAACGGGAGTTAGCGGGAAAAAACATTTGCATGAAAACATCTAAACTGCGTAAGATAGATGAAGGGGGTAAAACGGGATCCACGCGTACGAAGTCGCGGGCGGCCGCTAGTAACTTAATAAAAACTTATAAATTGAGAACAAAGTTCGTTAAAAGGCAAGCAACATAAACGTAAGCCTAACTTTTACGGTGACCTTTGCTGTATATTCTATTTACGTTGTACCATAAAATCTGTTTTTTATTTGGGCAATGATTAGAAGTTGTTTCCTCCTCAGCCAGACAGTTTTGACAATTCCAACTCCATGCCAGACTATCTTTAGAGGATAGCTGCCAAAGCCACGATGACCCAAACTACCTACATGATGTAGATACCAACATTCTAATCTAATTGGGAGCATACTCTGACAAACTTTCAGCTTTTATAAAATGACGTAGGTCTGGCGTTCACTAGCTCGTCGCAGATCATAACCAAAACCAACCCTTGACATGCCGTAATTTGAAGAAGTTCATAAATTCGCCCGCTTTTCCTATGGGAGGCGTGGCTCAGTTGGCAGAGCGGTCGCGTCAATGCGATGGTACCGGGATCGAAGCCCGGCGTCTCGGGCTTAGGTAAATCTAAATCAATCTTCGCTTTTGCTTTTTATTTTTCAGCATAACGTTTTTGCGTATCAATGGGCACGTTATAAAAAAGTAAAAAACAAATAATATCTTTGGTGTGATTTATATTTTTAACGTTATAAATTGAATAAATTCACTACAAATAATTTTTTTGGTTAATTTAACGGTATCTGAAATATTACAAGCACTTTTAGACAAAGGATACGACTTTAGTAAGAATCTGGAAGTTTAGTAGGTACTGATATATTTAGAATTATGTGAACATAGATTTACGGGCTACAATATGTATCATTTATGGTACTTACTTGGTGATCCAATTTATAGGCTACTGAAATGGAATATTTTTATATACAGTGTGAGTCACGTTAAAGTGTACATATGAAAATAGATGAAACTAGACCTATTTTTATCGACAAAAAAAGGTCAAAAAAAT